CAGCGCCTCGCAGCCGCAGAGCGCCTCCACGCCCCCCGCGCTGGGGCCGGGGCCCCTGCTCGGCTCGGCCTCCAGCCTGCCAAACCCTCTTCTACCTCAGACCTCCGCAAGCAGCGTCATCTTCCCCAACCCGCTGGCCAGCATCGCGGCCACGGCCAATGCCCTGGACCCCCTATCGGCCCTCATGAAGCACCGCAAAGGCAAGCCCCCCAACGTATCGGTGTTCGAGCCCAAGGCCAGTGCCGAGGACCCCTTCTTCAAGCACAAGTGCAGGTTCTGTGCCAAGGTCTTCGGCAGTGACAGCGCGCTACAGATCCACCTACGCTCGCACACGGGCGAGCGGCCCTTCAAGTGCAACATCTGCGGGAACCGCTTCTCAACCAAAGGCAACCTGAAGGTGCACTTCCAGAGGCACAAGGAGAAGTACCCCCACATCCAGATGAACCCCTACCCCGTCCCGGAGTACCTCGACAATGTACCCACCTGCTCGGGAATCCCCTACGGCATGTCGCTGCCTCCGGAAAAGCCCGTGACCACCTGGCTGGACAGCAAACCTGTGCTGCCCACAGTTCCCACATCTGTGGGGCTGCAGCTGCCTCCCACCATCCCTGGCACGCACGGCTACACCGACTCCCCCAGCGTCACCCCCGTCAGCCGCTCCCCGCAGAGGCCCTCTCCCGCGTCCAGCGAATGCCCCTCCTTGTCCCCAGGCCTCAACAACACCGAGTCCAGCATCCCCGTGACCGCCGAGTCCCCACAGCCACTCCTCGGCGGGTCTTCTCTGACTAAAACCGAGCCCGTCGTCCTGCCCTGCACAAACGCAAGGGTAGGGGACGTCCCCGTGGGTGGGCAGGTCAGCTCAACGCCCACCTCGGCGGCCGCCGCGGTCTCAGACAGCGTGTCCACGAGCCTCAGCAGCCCCGGGCTTCCAGCAGTCTCCGACCAGTTCAAGGCACAGTTTCCCTTCGGAGGGCTGCTCGACTCTATGCAAACCTCGGAAACCTCGAAGCTGCAGCAGTTGGTGGAGAACATCGACAAGAAGATGACGGACCCCAATCAGTGCGTCATCTGCCACCGCGTGCTGAGCTGCCAGAGTGCCCTGAAGATGCACTACAGGACGCACACGGGCGAGCGGCCCTTCAAGTGCAAGATCTGCGGCCGCGCCTTCACCACCAAGGGGAACCTGAAGACGCACTTCGGTGTCCACCGTGCCAAGCCGCCCCTGCGCGTGCAGCACTCCTGCCCCATCTGCCAGAAGAAGTTCACCAACGCCGTGGTCCTGCAGCAGCACATCCGCATGCACATGGGGGGACAGATCCCCAATACCCCGCTGCCAGAAGGCTTCCAGGACGCCATGGATGCAGAGCTGCCCTACGACGAGAAGAACGCAGAGACCCTGAGCAGCTACGGTGACGACGGCGATGAGAATTCCATGGAGGAGGACACGGAGCTGAAGGACATGGCCAGCGATGTGGCCAAGCCACTCCTCTCCTACCCGGGGTCCTGCCCACCCTCGCCCCCCTCCGTCATCTCGAGCATCGCAGCACTGGAGAACCAGATGAAAATGATCGACTCAGTCATGAGCTGTCAGCAGCTGACCAGCTTGAAGGCCGTGGAAAACGGGTCCGGGGAGAGCGACCACCTGAGCAATGACTCCTCGTCGGCTGCAGGCGACCTGGAGAGCCGCAGCGCGGGCAGCCCAGCACTGTCCGAGTCTTCTTCCTCACAGGCGCTGTCGCCAGCCAATAGCAACGGCGAGAGCTTCCGCTCCAAGTCCCCGGGCCTGGGCAGCCAGGAGGAGCCGCAGGAAATGCCCCTGAAGACAGAAAGGCCTGACAGCCCGCCACCCGCCCCTGGAAACGGGGGCGCCCTGGACCTGACCGCCGGCCCCCCCGGCCGGCCGGCCATCAAGGATGAGGCCCCCTTCAGCCTGCTGTTCCTGAACAGAGAGCGTGGTAAGTGTGCAAGCACTGTTTGTGGTGTCTGTGGCAAGCCTTTTGCTTGCAAGAGCGCATTGGAAATCCACTACCGCAGCCACACTAAGGAGCGGCCGTTCGTCTGCACGGTCTGTGGGCGTGGGTGTTCCACTGTGGGCAATTTAAAGCAGCACTTACTGACGCACGGATTGAAAGAGGTGCCTTCTCAGTTATTTGACCCCAACTTTACTCTAGGTCCCAGCCAAAGTACTGCTACCCTGGTCACCAGCACTGCGCCCACCATGATCAAAATGGAGGTGAACGGTCACAGCAAGGCCCTCGCTCTGGGTGAGGGTCCGTCACTGCCGGCCACAGTCCAGGTCCCTGCCGGGCCTCAGACATTGATGAGCCCGGGCCTCGCGCCCATGCTGGCCCCACCGCCACGCCGGACACCCAAGCAGCACAACTGCCAGTCGTGCGGGAAGACCTTCTCATCAGCCAGCGCCCTGCAGATCCACGAGCGCACCCACACTGGGGAGAAGCCATTTGGCTGTACCATCTGTGGCAGGGCCTTCACCACCAAGGGGAACCTCAAGGTAAGAGGTGACGGGCTCCAGGCTGCATGTGGCCAAGCACGAGGGGACCCGGCCATGAATGGCACCCTCCACCGCCTGCCTTAGAAGCAGTGCAAGCTCTGCCGGATATGTGTGTGTTGTGTTTGCGTGTGTGTTTGTGTGTGTGTGTTCGTGCATGTGTTGTGTGTTTCTGTAGTATGGGTGTATAGTGGGTGGTGGTACGTTCGGATATGTGTGTGTTGTGTTTGCGTGTGTGTTTGTGTATGTGTGTTCGTGCATGTGTTGTGTGTTTCTGTAGTATGGGTGTATAGTGGGTGGTGGTACGTGTGTGTGCATGTGCCTGTGTGCACATGCATGTATGTGTGTGTGTGTGGCGTGTGGGTGTGTGTAGTGTTCATACACACATAGCATGTTTACAGTGTGTGTGTGCCTGCAAATGCACATGTAGTGTGTAGGTGTGTCTAATGTGTTCATGTGTGCACACACTTAATGAGGCATGCATCCCGTTAAGTGGCAGTAAGAGGAACACAGGTCTGGGCCTCTCCTTTCTGTAGGCTCCAGCCTGCTTCAGGAGTTAGGGTGACAACACACACTTTGCAACTTGGTGGGGAGACCCAGGGCCCAGTGCTCTCTTGAATCTTATACAGATAAACTTGGCCTTTAAATGCTCACACGTAATACACATAACACAAAGGTGGGGCTTGCTCAGTGACTTCTGGAGGGTCCTGTTCTGTCCACATGGCTGCCGAGGGAGCCCATGGGAAGGCCAGAGAAAACCCCGTCTTGCGTAGTGTTCGTGTTTAAGACTGCAGCAACATTGTGCATTTTCCTCGGGAGATGGCCCTTTGAGGAGATGCAGGGTGACTCAAGCCTGTGCTTTTTCACTGTGTCAGCTAAATATGCTGGTTTCTGTCCTGTGTGAGTGCACATTTGCAAAGACAGACGGTGGGTCTCAGCAGCCTCTTAGAGAATGTTAGTAGGAGGAGAGCTGCCCAGGACTCTGATGGCCGCCCACGGCCCCGGGAGGTTTTGGAGAGAGGGGCACAGAAAGAGTTCAAGCATGCGATGATCTGGAAGGTGGGTTGGAGGCACAAAGGAGAGCCAGGGCTGGGATGAAGCAGCAGGTGAGGGCCTTTTTCCTCAGAGCTTCAGAACATCCTCTGGGCAGCCGTGTGGCCTTTGCACCCCAAGAGGAGAAGTTCTACCAGGTTTGTCGACTGAAAGCACATTCATTAGGTTACACTTGCTGGTTTTGCTTTCTGTATTCACTAAAATGAAACATGGCATACATAACTATAAGATGCTCAGAAAAGTTGTCCCCAAACTGTTGCTCAGCACAGGATGGCACTTGCGAGATGTGGAGTCAGGACACGTCACCTTACAGGCCTGGACTCACTGACTTGCGTGTTGTCTGTCCTTCTCTCACACAGGTGCACATGGGCACGCACATGTGGAACAATGCCCCCGCGAGGCGTGGCCGCCGCCTGTCCGTGGAAAACCCCATGGCTCTCCTCGGCGGTGACGCCCTCAAGTTCTCTGAAATGTTCCAGAAGGATCTAGCGGCTCGCGCCATGAACGTCGACCCCAATTTTTGGAACCAGTATGCCGCAGCAATCACAAACGGGCTGGCCATGAAGAACAACGAGATTTCTGTCATCCAGAACGGAGGCATCCCCCAGCTCCCTGTAAGTCTCGGCGGAAGCGCCATCCCCCCCTTGGGTGCCGTGGCCGGTGGGACCGACAAGGCTCGCACCGGCGGCAGCCCGCCCACTGTCAGCCTGGACAGGGCAGGTGCAGAGGCCAGCCGCCCATTCACGAGGTTTATCGAGGACAACAAGGAGATCGGTATAAACTAGCAGAACACACTGTGACACCACCCTCTGTTCTGTCCCGCGTCCGCGTTTTGAAGTTTGCGCATCAGGCTTCAGACCCGCCATGCCTAGGTTCTCATGAAAATTTTATCCACAACAGAAAATCTTTCACCGTGAGGCTGCGAAAGGTCGTCTCCTAAGCGCTCCATGGTACTCCCTCAGCAGTGAGTTTGACTGTTCTTGGGAACTCTGCAACCTTTCCAATACATTTCGGTTAAAAAAAAAAAAAGTGCTTGGAAAACCGCCTTCGGAGCCGGAAGAGCTCAGACCATATCCAGTTCTTTTCTCCCAAAACCTAATCCTCTCTGCAAGGGAGAAAGGGGGTCCCCTGCGGTATTCCAGTGAAACTCATTCGATGGTTTTGTTCAAATTAGTTAGAAACTTGAACTGTTTTTAGAACTCTTCATCTTAAAGAAGTGGTTTAGTACTCCCAATGCTGTATATCATGACAGTATCTTCGTCTGTAGTATTTATAATGTTAAGATTATGCGGGTAACAGACGCTATAATAGCCCCAACCTTAAATGAAGCTTTTGTACTGCAGAATACATCTGGCTGTGTGATTTTTTTTTTTTTTCGAAGCAAGATTTGTTTTACTATAAATAAGTGGATTATCTCAATGCAGGCAAAATTGTGAAGTTCTATTGGGAAAGATAGCATGCCTTTTTTGTGTGCAAGTACCTGTCAGTAACAAGCCTTTTTGTTTTTTTCTTTCTTTTTTTTTTAATTTAAATATTTGTAGCTGCTATGTGGACAGTTGTTCTCTAGTGTGGTCTGTAGTCCAGTGGTTGGAGAATGACTTACAGACAGACACCACCATAAATTATTCACAACATTATAAACAGTTGTGAGTAAACATTTCACATTATCAAAGCTGTACAATAAAAAGGTAATGTTTGTATAATGTGGTTGCAAACTCTTAATTTATACTATTGCACTTTTAGTATTTTGTACTAGGGAGGTTTGTCTATAATTTGGAAATTTAAAAAGATGTAAAGTATTTTATAAATAGTATTTCAGTTTAAGGAAAATGAAAAAAAACAAAACAAAAACTGCTCCAGTTTCTTGTTTTGGCTTAAGGTCAAACTATATGAGAAATTCTATGCTACTTAAACAGAAAAGCCACCAAGTCTTAGCTCCTCAATAAAATAGGGCCTGCCATTTCTTAAAATCACTTATTTAACTTTTCTACAAAGCCTATTTAGAAACTGTGACCACCCCTAATGAAACTTTGATAAATTAATCTTAGGACTGTGACATCAGTACAAGTCAGGAAATAACTAAGAGAACGTTGTGTAGGTATAATTTCACTGTAAGCTGTTCTGTCTCTTTGTCACACGCCCACAACAGGATTTTGACTGCCTAGTGGCACTGGTTCCCATGTATAGTAAGCCGAAGAGAAATAGCAAGTGTCTGGCAGGATAATCGGTCATAACCTGGGAATTTTCTGAGTTCCTGATTTATTATCTTCTCATATGAAAACGAAGCACAATGTCCTCTGATTATTTGAAACACAATCTTATGCCAATGACTTTGTCTAAGTTGCACCGAGTTGAGACAGAAGCTCGGACGCTGGGAGGAGGGGCTGAGTCCGAACCTGAGCAGTCGGTGTTACGTGTCCTACCTCATTTTCGTGCATCGCGAGCGTGCTGGAGTCCGACGCTCTGTACTTCCAACAGCAAAATTGTTCAAGAGCTATCACGGTAGCTGGGTAACAGTGCAAGGAGATGATGCCCCTGAAGA